AATATGACATAAGGATGTCATAGTTATCCCCATACATGTACATATTATGAAGTACCTAGATATTCATCGATGAGCTATAAATGTATATGCAATATTATTAACAATTAGACACTAGTAATATAAAAATACCCAAAACTCTTTTACAAGTGTTTGTCACTGACCTAAATTTAGGAGTAAGTCCTTTGTTCCTGGCATGGGCATACAAGTCGTCTTTAAGACTCCATATTACTTTGTCTCTGTCTTTCTCTCTCTCTCTCTCTCTGTCTCTCTCTCTCTCTCTGTCTCTTTTTTCTTGATGAACTGGAGATTAAACCTAGGACTGAATTCATGCTAGACAAATTCTCCACCATTGTGCTACAACCTCAGCCCACTCAAACTTATCTATTGCCTTTTTATATTCAGATAGACTCAAAATTTAGCGTATGAAAAGTTTCCCAACTGTCTGCCCTCCATCTCTCTTCTTCCTTCCTTTTTCTATCATCTGCTAAAACATTTCTCTCTTTATTCCTACAGAATGTTAGATTCATACTTTGATACATATTGTATCACCTTGAATCTCTTTTCTGCCCTCAACCCAAAAAACTTCAAGGCCAAGGCCACTCTTATTGTCACCTTTAACTATTTTCTAAAGATTAAAGCACAAAAATCTTTCTCCCTTACCTCCTGTAACCCTCACCGATGGCCAGTGCAACACAAATAAGCACTTAATTAACAAAGGTAGGTGTGCAGTGAATAATGATCAAGAGTTTCTTTGTTATATCGTTTTGGTCTCCCATAGAACCCAGCGGAGTTCTAGTCATGTGGTTGATGTTATGAGTGCTTATTAATTACAGCAGGGAAAGTGAGTTAGATAAAATGAGTTATTACTATGTAGAGCACCACAGGCTCTACACTTTTGCTTTGGCTAATTTTTAAGATTATGTTCATTAAATGAAGAATACAAATGAATACAGATCATTTTAAGCATTTATATAGTCAATTCTAATAATAATATAATAATATTTAGTATTTAAACTAGTTTGCATAAATAAAAACTTAGCTTTTAAAGGTTGAAACTTTCCTCTGTATGATAGCTTTATGGATTAATCAGAAACACCAAATAGTAAACAAAGCCCTGTTGTGTAACATAATTTCTTCCCTCTCCTGTGTCATGCTTTTCTTTTCCTTTTCCTACTTACTGTGTCTTTCTCATTAACAAATTAGGATGCCATGATAGTTTTTTCACATATGTACCTTTTTAAGAAGTTTTACTGGTCACCCATCTGTCACTACCCATTGCTTTGAAGCTGTATGTTGCAACAGTTCACAAAAGCGAAGGTACAGGCAAGTCATCTGAGAGTCTTGTTAAAATTTCAATTCTCATTCAGAAGTTACATGCTTCCTGACCTAATAAAATACCTGAACCTTAGTGGCATAAAGGAATAAACATTCATTGGGACATAGCCGTGCTGGGTGCCTCTGGTGCAGGATCTTTCACACAGCTGCCACAAGGTGTTGGCCTCCGTTTCGGACATCTCCAGGCTTGGCCTGGAGGCACCCACTTCCAAGCTTCTTCTCTTGGCTGTTGGCAGGCCCAGTATCTTTGCTTGGTTGTATTTTATGGGCCTCTCCGGAGAGCAACTTATAATCTAGCTGCTTGCTCCAGTAGGTGAGTGAGGAACAGGCAGGACAGAGCCAGAGTCTTTTTGTAACCTGATCTCCAAAGCAAAGATCTCACCAAATTTACTTTATTCTGTGCATTGGAAGGTAGTTACTAGATCCAGCCCACACTCAAAGAGAGGGAGTTACAAGAGGCATCATTCCAGTAAGGAGCCATCATTGGGTTTATGTGGGACACCAGGTAGGAAGATTGAGGTCTAAGTGGCCCCCTCGGTGAACACTAAGGTGCATGCAAGTGTGTGGCCACATTGCGGGGAAAGTAAAAACAGCTGAGATCCTCTTGTTTACCTGGGACAAGTACAATGGTGGGCGGGAGACAGATGGATCCTGTGGAACGCTAATTGTGCCCGTGTCAGAGTGAATAAAAGCTAAGGTGCACGCTTCACTCCCGGCTCTCTGTCAGAGGGAGCCAGGAACCCTCCGGTGCTCCAAGTTTTGGCCTGGTTCTGTGTCTTTACTTTTCGTCCTCGTCACCCCCTGGTCAGGTTTGCGCTCATAGGCTGGTTCCTACAAGTTTATATGAGAGGCCGTCTGTTTCAGTAGATTTAAAGTCGACGCTGAAATTCCACACATCCAGCAGTTCTTAAGTAAGGTAAGTGAGGCCAATACGGTTCACGGAGAATTTTGCTGGAGTCTTTGCCTCCAGTCCCTTTCTGTCCATCACCCTCCCATCACGTTCCTCTACTCTTCCTCTAGACCTCCTCTCCTATGGGAGTCACCAGTGTCCTTCACTTTACTAAGCCCAACGTTAAACAGAACTGATCTCTCTCTTTCCCTCTCTCTGAAATTCTTTTTCAGTGTGATCACTTGGTTACAATATCTACCTTTCTTGCTGGGGATTTAGCTCAGTGGTTCTGCCACCTGCCTTGCGAGTGCAAGGTCCCAAGTTCAATCTCTGGCACAAAAAAAAAAAAAAAAAAAAAAAAAAAAAAAAAAAAAAAAAAAAAAAATTTTTTTTT